AGTTCTGTTTATTTCTACATGACAAGAATATCTGTAATATTTTTTAATTTTTGAAATTAAATTTAACACAGAATTTCTTTTAGAGATTAAAATTAATCTGTTAGCTGTTAAATACTACAGTACAGAATATTCAAACAAATTTTTCTAAAGACAAATTAATTTAAGCTCAAAAATAAATATTAAACCAAATTAATTTGTATAAAGCAAATAATCATTACTGGATTTTGCTTAAGTTTTTACAACTTACAAAACAATCACTGATAAAAATTTATATATATACATATGCATGAATGCATATAGGATGATTCAAAAGTAAAGAATAAAACTTTATGGGGTGATTCAATTATTTAATTTACAGTAAAAAATGTTAATACATCTCTATCCAGCTCTCAAAGATAAAAAGTATTAAAAATTAGGCAGAAGTGATGGGGAAAAATATTTTACTGTTTTATATAAATGTTTAATTTCTAAAATTTTAAAGAAAAGAAAAAAATTTTATTCTGGAAATTAAATTACTACATAAATAATAGATATTTTTATAAAGCTGATAAAAATTGTTTATATTTAACAATGCCAATATTTGGAAATGGAGGAAAAAATCTTAAAGATTGAATAGAATTAAATATGAAAAGATTAAAATTGTTTTCTTAAATTCTGAATTTAAAAAAATATAATAATAATTAAGAATACTTGAGACTACATATACTGCCAGACTACAATTCTAGAAACTACAATAATTTATAATTTCTAAATTTTAACAAATTTAGAAATTATTAATAGTATCTCTTTCTAATAAATTATTTACAAAAGTCAAGGTAGCAATTTGAAAATATTTAAGTGGAAGTTTAATCAAATGAACTACTACCTATTGAAATATTTATAACAATTTCTTCAGAAACAAATGAAAAAATTTGCAAAAAATATGAAAAATAAAATATTCATAATTAGTGCTAACAAAATAAACAATGGATAAAAAAAAAATATATTAATTAAATTCATTTTACAATTCAATTCCAGCATAAAAATGCATTAAATATCATATATACATTATATATATTGAAAGTGATTAATATGAAATCATTAAATTTTTTCCAACTCAAACCACTAGAAATTTTGAAAACAAAAGTGATCATTAGTTGCTGAAAAATTAGTTTTTGGATTTTACTTAATTATAAATATATAAATTTGTTATTTTTTTATATGTTAGGTTTAAATTCTGTTATTTATAAAGAAATACAGTGGTACCTCAGGATACGAAATTAATCCGTTCCGAAACTGAGATCGTATCATGAAAATGTCGTAAGGTGGATCATCTTTTCCCATACGATTACATGTAAAACCAAATAATTCGTTCCAACGCGAAAAACATACTCAAATTAAAGCCAAGTAATACATTAAAAAAAATAACTGTAGTAAGAAAAACAAATGAAAAATGCGAACTAATGTAACGTCGTATGGTGAGTTTTTGTTCGTATCGTGGAGCAAAAATATGTTCGAATTTCATGTCGTATCCTGAAAATTTCGTATGCTGGGGCGTTCGTAACCTGAGGTACCACTGTATAGGAACTGATTTGGTAACTGAACAACATTAAATCATCAATCACTTTCAAAAATGCATTCAATAATTTTATTTAAAAAATTAAAACCTAAATACTGAAAAAGTTATAATTAAAATTGAAATTTAGTAAAAAATGAATCTAAATTGTTGGTTTATTTTCAGGTTATATTTAAACTAATCTTTAATTAATTACAATGCAATTTGCTTGAAGATACATAGTTATGTCACTATGCTGTATTAAGATTAATAATTAAGGATAATCCAGCAATTTAGATTCATATTTAGTTATTAGAGAGGTTGTGTTTCAGAATTTTGTTTCAGAATTTTTTTCAAATATAAAATATTTAAATTTAAAAAATAAATGTGGGCTCATTCAAAAATTGAAAAATTTGTTTGGATCATCTAATAAATTTGAAAACAAGCAACTAAATGATTCAAAAACAGATCTGGTATTTATGGGATAAAACCAAAATAATTTTCTTCGTCATCTTCTTTGTAATTGATATATAATTATTCCTTGAATTACTATTGGCACATGTTTCTGACTTGACTGATTTTGTATGAAATGTTTGTTAGTGGTTTTTATGATTTTTCAATAAAGATGTTATAACAACATGGAAGAGTTGTTAAATTTTAATAATAAATTTTAAGAAATCATATTAGATATAGAGATGAAGGAAAATATTGCAGACAACATTTCTAAGTTGAAGATGCCTTGAACAGAAAACGTACTCGTCAAATTAATAATCAAAATAATCAACACCTAATCCATTGCCGAGGGAAGATGCCTTACAGGAAAAAATCTTAATTTATGATATGCTCTTGGTGATAATGCAGAAATCAAATTATGGTAATAACTTTAATTCAGAATATACAGTGCCATTACAAAAAACTAAAATAAATAAATGAAATTAATTATTTATCAATTATTTAATAGATTATATACAGTTATATACAGTAATAGATTATATACAGTAACCCGAACTTATGCAATAAGTGGGACTGAGCGATAACTGCATAGTCGAATTCGCATAAGTCGGGGTATAATTTCACAATTTGTGTAAAATCCAAGTCGGATGTATGTAAGCTAATAAATGTTCTCGTTAATCTTATCTCATCTTTTGATTCGTTCACGGTTACAAGAAATTACCACATAGAGTCTCTCGAGTCTCCGAAGATATAACAAACACAGAAATAAATAACACAAAATAAATTGTAGCTATGCGTCAATTCCGCTCAACGCGTCCGAACATGTAAGCTGAACAATAGCGTGAGGGAGTGAGTAATCGAGAGTTGTGTGGCGCTCAAACAAAAGACGAATTGACGAGATTTGAAAATCACGTAACTTCGGGTTCGGGTAAGTCGGGGTAGCGTAAGTCGAGGTATTACTGTATTTTCTTTATTTTATATTTATTTATTTTATTGTATTGTTTATTTCATTTTTTAATGCAACAATCTAATCTAAAAGTGGTTCATTCTTTAAGGAAAATTCAAAGAAGCAGATTCAATGCAAAAAGAAAATCGATAAATTCTTCATATATACAATGACTGTATATAATTTTCATTATATAATACTTAATATAGGTTTATTTTAAATAAATATTGTTGATTTATTAATTTTTATTATTAATAATAAATCAATAAAAGCAATAATCAAATGTTCTGGTATTTTTGAAATCATGCCAGTAATTTTTAGTAATTCAAACACAAATTATTTATTGTATTTATTCAGAAACTGAATAAAATTTAATGACGAGATTTGCCAAGTGTCTGAATAAATAAAATAAATAATTTGTGTTTAAATTAATAATCAAATGCTAAATCATTTAAAAACAAGTGTTCAAAACAAAAAACAATACAAAATAACAGAGCTAACATTTTCACCAAAGTTAAACAGACATCATCAGGCTAAAAAATGATTTTTTAACTCAACTTACCCAGTTTTAAGTGGTTGTTTTATAAAAATCAATTAAAATTTATCAGAATATATAGCATTATACATGAAATATAGATATAGTAAATGAAATGTAGAATTGACACAGACATACAAAGAACAAGTTCAATAATTCATAATTGCAGATTTTCATAAGGTTTCTATTATATACCTGCTTTTCTTCTTTCTTTAACCTATCTTTATTATTTCTCAAAAAGACCATAAATATATGGCACTCTTTTGAAGATCATATTAGATCCTTCATGTTCCACAATTTCTTTCTTAATATTCATCATGTTCTTAATGATAGTAAATTTAATGACCCCATTATTGCTTTTTTGAGTCTTTGGTTTGTCTTTCTTATAATTTCTAATTAGTCCTGTCATCATGCTAGTTTTATATCTCAGAATTGTGGCCATTTCTTTAATTCTGTTAAGTTCCTTAAGTCTTTCAATGAAGTATAGAGAAAATATGTTAACTTTTCTCATGGTTTTGTTATAAACAGCAGTTTTAAGAATGGCAATCCTTATGAACAGTAGTCTAAATGTTACAAAGATTACAAATGAAAGATTTTAGATTAGTTAAGAAAAATAAGTTTAGGACTATTCTTTATCATATAATACTTCTTCATAAGTTTATTAGCAATAATAATATTGTAATTGTTTCTGATGAAATTCACATTAAAACCATTATGAGTAGCATGGGCATCCACAGAAAATAGGCAAGCAAAACTTGGAGGCAAATAATTACATCAATAAATTTTTATTTATTTAATTTTCAGAATTTTTTCACAAGTATATTATAGAATACAGTAGTGCATCAATACAAAAAGACAGACAGTGTTTCATGGTCACAGTGTAACCTCCACGAAATGCTTTTATAATCACTTTTACAATTATAATTTGTGGAACTTTTAATCGGTATCAAGGAAGAGCAAGTGTCCCATTTGTCTCCCTCTGCGAATGCCCAGGTTGAATAGTATACAGTATTACTACTACTTAATAACTTCTATATATTTATAAGTGTTAAAATGAGACATCTTTTTTGTACATCATTCAATAACTAATCACCAAGAGACATTTCATAAATTACTACTTCAACAAAAATAAGAATTCAAGATGAATGCCAATTCACAACTTAAAAGTATATTTGTTTCTCCAAGTAACATTTACATTACCCCATTAATAGATTTTACAACAAAATTAATAATTAAACTAAAAAATAGCATATTAAAATTCAATTGTAATAAAATAAACATATCATTGATTCCATCAATTGATATGTAAGCAAAACATTTGATTATGTATCAAAAACAATGTGATTTTGACAGAACATAACGAAGTATTTATTTTTTTTTTTTTGTATCAATATATTTGAATGTAAAAAATACTTGAAGGCATAAAATTTCTTATTAATATTTATACAATTATATTATTAACTTCTTTAATTAAAATATCAAACTAATCGAACGATTTGAGTCGCGCACTCGCCTAGCGCAATAGGACTTACTAAGAGCGTAGTATAGAATCCTGGCTGTGTTTCCCAGCATTTTAACTGTTGTTCGGCGGGTTTTAATAATTCCAAATTTTGACTAGCTGCTTTTTTTAACGTTTCCAATACCAATAAATCAGAATTCATACTTTTATCGTTATTATCGACTATATACAAGTCCATGCTTTTTATGGAGGACGCCATCTTTATTGATGTTAGTGTTTAGCACACCTAGCGATCGAAAATAACATTGAAGTTATCGCGCTAAGTTTTTATTTATTTTTTTTTAAATTTCAGAATAAAAATTTTCGCTGATTATTTGCTTTTTTTAACGTTTCCAATACCAATAAATCAGAATTCATACTTTTATCGTTATTATCGACTATATACAAGTCCATGCTTTTTATGGAGGACGCCATCTTTATTGATGTTAGTGTTTAGCACACCTAGCGATCGAAAATAACATTGAAGTTATCGCGCTAAGTTTTTATTTATTTTTTTTTAAATTTCAGAATAAAAATTTTCGCTGATTATTTTTAAATGTTAAAAAATAAAACTTGTATGATAAAATTTATTTTTAATTTATAAACAAGAGATATTTAAAAGTTTAGATTTATTTTATTATTATTTTTTATTTAAAATTTGTAATCTAAATATATTAATAATAAATATAAAAATCATAAATAATAAAATATATTTTTTACTCTTTCCGCTCTGTGGGCACAAACAGGGCCAATCGAAATTGCACTCAGCAGAGAGAAATAATTCGGCTGGATGGCCAAGCAATCAAGGTGGCAGCCTACCGCTCTGTTGAACCCGGGATCGCATCCGAGGGAGTCGAAAAATCTCCGGGAATTTTTAGGGTGGTCCGTTAGGATATGTCGGGCTCCGTCTTTCACTACCCGACTGCTCCATTGTGGGCCTAATCGAATCCATAATGGATTTTCTAAAAAAGACCCTTTTAGTACCCACAGGGCGGAAAGAGTTAAATATACATAAATATAACGGTAATATGTAATATCGTCTTCTATAAATAAGCACATACCTTAATAATAATTAATTAATTAATTAAATATAAATAAATACACTGTGGTCAATAAGGATGGATGAAACCTTCGAAATTTTATGTAATAGCTTTTATCTATGAAAAACTTTCTTGATGATGGTAAATCTTCCGCATTCCTAATGCATTGATCTGCCAGTTTAACTCCTGTATATTTAAATTTTTTTTCAGTACTGTGTCAATGTTGGAGAGTGTGATGACAAAAAGATTAACCTTATATTTTAAGGAATGGATCCAAGATTTTTTTAAATGTGTGATATGATTCATTTAATAAAAAGCTTACTAAAGTAAAAATTTCTTCTTAATTTGTCAGATATAAATCTGAATGAATTAGAAAAACGAATAGAATCGCTGAATAATATTGATAACGGTATTACATAAATTATTTTAAAATTTAATTTTTTATTTAAAATTTTAAATTTATTAATTAAATATTTTGAAACAGTATAATTTATAACTTTGAATCATTGAAGGCTGGTTGGCCCGAGCGGTTAAGATGACGGTCTATCTCTCTGGGGACCCGAAATCGGATCCAGTTGAAAAATATACCAGAAATTCTTCGGGATGGTCCCACCGGATGTCGGACCCTGATATGCACCTGGCCAAACCCATAATGGACTTTCTAAAATTAGCCTTCTTAGTTCCCACTGGATGAAAAGAGTTTAAAGAAACTCGGAATCATTAATAACTGATACATGTAATGTATGATTATTAATAATTAATTAATAATTCTATATGCTGTGGAAGTGATTGTGTAAACTGTAGTTCAAATTTTTCTTTTATTCCTTCTCACTAAAATCTTACTGTTTTTTCATTCTTCGCCCGTCTTTACTTTCCTGACACTCTTCCTTGCTTCCAAAATGGCTTCCTGCTCTCTTCAGATGCAGTTTAGTTTCTCAGTCCAATCATTCTGCACGCTTCTTTCAACACTTTCGCAGCTTTATGTTTTTTTGACTACAGTAATACTCTTATATAGATACAATAAATTTATAATTCCTTAATAAGCGTCCTTTTCAAAATGATGACCTTAAAAAGGGTCATTTGAGTATAGCGTTTGCGAGCAAACTCCCGCGAAATTATTAATTCATCCGGAAATAAAAATTCGCAGTAGCAACGAGGGAGTGGTGAAGTTATATCACTATGTCCGAATACAGTATTTATCTATGAAAAACTATTCAGTCAAATACTCGACCATCTGCTCCATGCTGTACCAGAGAATATTCGAACGAATCTCATGCGAAATTCCTCTCTAAAGCGATCCTCGGAGTAGAGATCGGCGGGCGTTCCGATCGTCTAATAGGGTAAATTGAAAAGCGTCTGCACTTGTGTATTTTTAAAAATGTTTTTAAAAAATACCCCAAAAAAGTATTTTTGTAATATACGATTATTCATTCGGCTTTAGATTATTTATTTTCAAAGAGACTAGGCGGAAATCGTCGATTTTTACGAAAATACACGAATTAAAAATTGGTGGATTTCTAGCAAGTGGAATGTGAAGATGCACAGATTTGCTATAACAGAAAAGTTGTACGTGTTTACAACACTTGCACACCACACTTTTTCGCAAGACGGCGAAAAAAGCTATTTGTTTCAAAACATAACACTAAACAAGCAATTATTTATTGTGACATCGTTACAATGCTGGGCTGCAATTTTTAATTGTATTTTTAATTCATTTAATTTAAAATACATGCTCTCCACTTCAAATTGGTACTTCAGTGTCTTGCCCTATACCTCATACTTTTCCATTAGCAATGGAGTCGTGCTGGTCATCTATCTAACTCCTTTCAGGATAAAATTTTTGAATTGAAATAACATAACGTCCGGTTTTTATCTAAAGTTCATATATAGTTAACTTTCCATATTTGATCGTGAATTTTATTTATCTAACACCATTCTCGAGATTATTCAAAGACGGACAGCAGACTACAGTATGAATTTATAAGTCTACAATTTTTTTTCAAATTGCAGCCAAGTTTGGCTGCAATTTGAAAAAAAATTTGTGGGCCGTAATCAAATCCATTTATGGTCGAATCTAAAGTATACAAATTATAACATCGCAATCATTACACTTCAGTGTAATTTTATCATTACATTTGAAATTTATAGCCATTTGGTATAACTATTGCTATATCTGATAAGGCTATCCGGCCATCAAGTATTGAATACTATGTGCCTGCCGACCGAATTCATTGATTCATCCAGAATATGTCGGGCTCAGTTGCTTACATGACGGAAAGAGCACAAAAATACTCAATAGTGCAGTAGTATTTAAAAAGTCATTCAATTTTTTTTTTGAAAAAAAAAATCGAAAAGAAAATACTGTACAAATATTAAATTAATTTTGATAAATTTTATATAGTAATTAATAAGTTGAACTGAGAGAACTTTTTAAAATTTTTTGGTATCGTCGTTAATCAAAATTTAAAATATCGCCTATACAGCTGGGGCCTAATCGAATCCATAATGGATTTTCTAAAAAAGACCCTTTTAGTACCCACAGGGCGGAAAGAGTTAAATATACATAAATATAACGGTAATATGTAATATCGTCTTCTATAAATAAGCACATACCTTAATAATAATTAATTAATTAATTAAATATAAATAAATACACTGTGGTCAATAAGGATGGATGAAACCTTCNTTAATAAGTTGAACTGAGAGAACTTTTTAAAATTTTTTGGTATCGTCGTTAATCAAAATTTAAAATATCGCCTATACAGCTGGCAACACTTATCGACACGACAACATTTGCAGGGAAATGTGATCGTGGAACTTGTCGATTACAACTATACATGCTGATCTTATAGATATATCAAGTTTAAATAAGCTGTTTCTTTGTAAGGTAATTTAAATAATATAAAATACGAATTTATGCGGTAATTGTATACTTTTATCATTATTTTTATTGATATTTTCTAGAAATGACATTAGTGATGATGTAAAATATACAAACATGGATTATGAATGACAAACTTATTTTTCCTGAATTAAAATAAAAATTTTAAACATTTTTGTTCTCTCATTCACTTTAAAACTTCTAACATCATTGAATGTTGTTAGAGGTTTCCAAGTGAATGAGGAAACAAGAATGATCAAAACCACAGTGCCAAGCTGCTTGTTATAATTGCAATGAAGCTAATTTTTAAGAAATAAGTTGAAGAGATAAATTGTTGAATTATCATTTTAGTGTCATTAGTAAACTAATGTTTCTTGCATTATGTAATAATGGCAAGATCTTGATTTTAATTGTCATAATCATCCACTGCGTCTCATTTTATTTATAGAATATTTAATATTCAGGATGATGGCATTAAATTAATTACAATTAGTTGTAAATTAACAGGTTATTTGACAAATCTGATTAATTTTATTATTTACATATAATTAATATTATAATATTAACTTATCTTCAATTAAATTAACCTTTAATCAAATTTTAGAAAATAAATTAATTAAAATAAAAATTTCTCTAAATGTTATGATTCTTATATATTATTTATGTCTGACAGATAACTTTTATTTTAGTTTTATTATTAACTCAACAGTTTAAAGTAATATAAATTAATACTTGTGTTTAAATTTATTATGTTTAATTAATTGATTTATAAAGTGAATCATTATATTTTTACTTTTTCCAGTGCATCAGCTGCTCTCTTAGCAATTCAAAAACCATTTTCTTCTGGTAGAAGAATTTCTAAACAGCAGGTAAAACATTAATCTTTTGTCTATTGTAATATTTCTCCTTATTTATAATTTTTTCTCAAAATTTTAATAAATATTTAAATTAATAAATAACATTAAAATTTAATATGAGATAAGAGATTTTAAGTATAGAAAAAAAAATTAGTTTCAAACTTTCTAAATACTTTCCATCATGACTTACTTATTAAACTGGATACAATACTAATATGATCTTTTATACTATTAAAGAGCAATTATTTATTGTGACAGTCACAATGCTGGGTTGTAGTTTTTTGTNGTTTTCGATTCTGTTAGGATCTGCTTCAGGTCCAAAAATGTTAGATAGAATTAGAATGCTAAAAGATTGAATTTAAATATTTTAAAACCACCAGAACATTAAATATTAGAATAAGTATAAAGATCACACCTTAATGTTAACATTAAAATTAAAATAACAATTAACATACAAATTAATGAATATATTTGTTGCAAATCTTAATTAAGTGAATTATTTGATTTTTTATTTTTTATTAATGTTATTGGGATCGTCGAAAAATGACTATCAAGTATCTGAGATGTTCGCTTCCTCATTAAAATTGATACATTCCCCTTTTAGTTCAGCTTAAAAATTTCAAGAGCTAAAATTTTGATTTGATCGGTTTGAAGGATGCTTCTAATGAGATTGGCTTGCTGTAGATTAGCTTCCACATCAGTGTTAGAAGCGTATATTGCTAGGGTGGTGATCAGCTTTTTGTTTTGTATATCATATTTATGCTTAGCCAGCCATTTTTTAAAGGACCTCTTGGTTGAATCAATGTACAATAGATCTCTGTGAAATCTGTTATTTCTCACAGGTAAACTATATACTCCCCTGGTGCATTGTTGGTGTTAATGGCATGTTTGCCATTTCTTAATAACTTACGAACTGTAAGTTATCCCCCACCCTCTATTAGTAGCAATTTCTTTGTATAAAGCCTTTATTCTTTGGTCATAATTAATTAGTATTTGTTTGTCTACACACTACACTCTAAACCAGGTGATAGTCAACCTTTTTATACTTACCACACACTTCTGTATCTTGTTGGTAGTAAAATTTTCTAACCACCCACCAGTTCTGCAGTAAGTTAATTTAGCGCAACTGCAAAGTACTTGTAATTTTTGATTGACGGTTTAGTAAAAATATGTACTGTATATTCCAGCGTATAAGATGACCCCCGACTTTTCCAGTTAAAATATAGAGTTTGGGATATACTCGCCCTATAAGACGACCCCGACTTTTGAGAAGATTTTCCTGGGTTAAAAAGTCGTCTTATACGCCGGAATATATATGTTAGTTAAATTTATCTTTTTATTTATATTTTGCATATGTTTATAACACAGAAATTTTTTTGTCAGTGCACAAGTATGTTTTTTTACATCAAACTGAAAAAAGTAGCTAAATCTGGCAACACCAACCCCACTACAAAATGAGTTTAACTGGAGCAATGGCCACTGTTACATACAACCTGCTCTGTCAATGAGTCATAGATGCGCAGTGATAACAGAAAGTAGCTTCGGCATTGGACAAAACCCCTACACTATGAAAGCTCAAATTGTCCACTAGTGGGCGGTAGGGACCAGGTTGACTACCACTGCTCTAAACCCTTACTATTACCCCTGTTAAGATTGGAAGTGATGTGATCATTCATTCTTTTAATATAATTTTCTGCTAAATCTTGCACCACTGTTTCGTTATTTAATAGTGTATAACCAGCTTTGGGAAGATTTAGATTTGTAAATCATGTTTATGATTTGAAACTGCTATCAGTCGAATAGCAGTTTCAAAATGTATAGCATTATATTATTTGTAATGGTTCCACTGAAAAAAATGTAAGTGAAATGATTAAGAAATTATATATTTACAGAAATATATATATATATTTTCCACCTAATCCATATTTGTCTTTGATAACTAGCTGACTTTATAAGTAGATTTCTACACTATTTTATACAAGGGTAAACCATGTCCTGTCTCATTCTCCAATTGAGCATAAATTATTGTAATCTTCATATTGGAAAAAAGTAGCAGCAAATGAGACAAAATAAAAATAGTCATGAAAACTTAATTTTATTTAAAAAACAGAAATTTTCATAACGAATGCTTCATCATTTATGAAGATCCACTTTTATGTTAGATACTCTACAGTAGGAATGGGCAGTCTTTTTCTATGTAAGGGCCACATTTAAAACTTTGAGCTGACAAGGGCTGCACGCAAGAGAAAAGAAAACAAAATTGAGTAAATCACAATTATTTATTCATATATGATTATAAATTAACATAAGTATACTTAATTTGACTTATGTAACTGATGTGAACAAAATATATTCAAAATATTTGATTGAATATTAGTCACTGCTAGTTTTAAGTTAGTTTTATGTGAGTCTGTTAGCCAATTTCTTGTTTTACTTTTTACTAAATTTTTATTAAACTGTAGAAAATAACATTAAAATGTTTGCTGCATACTTTCTTAAGTTTTAAATTGATATATTTATTAATATTTTGTGCGACACAGGCTGCACAAACTATTAATGTGGGCTGCGGGTTGCCCACTCCTGCCCTACAGTGTGTGAATATTAAAGCAGTGGTAATAACAACGATTTATTTTCAAATTAAAGTTATCTGATAATTATTTATTTTGTCAGCTGCTAATAACAGTTTGATCAACAATTTCATGGGCAGTCTGTTCCAGATGATGTCCTCATCACCAGTCTTATCATCACTACTCAACTGCTCCATTGTGAGCTTAGCTGTACTTATCATGATATGATTAAAAGGCTTTCTTACTGCTTACAGGGTGCAAAGAGTCATAATTGAAAATAAATAATAAGAACTAAATACAAACTAGCTTTTAAATATTGTCATTTTTATTTTCAAAACTGTTTTCAAGATAATGAGAAAATAAATAATAAAGTTGATTAATATTAAACTGAACTTGAACAAATCTTATCTTCACATCTAACATTCTGAATGCTTGATCTGAAAATGAGATTGTTTTTCAAACATCTATCAAGTTTTTTTCATAGGACTTCATTAAATAAGGAGTTTAATTTAATTCTTTTAATGTTAAGACAATACAGAGTTGAATAGTAATATCATTCTATAAAGTTAATTTTTTAATAATTTTTTATTTTTACATAAATATAGGTTTATTAGAAATTTTATGAATGATTACTTGATTTAAAGAAATGAAATCCATTCAAGAACATCATTATGATTCACATGTGGGTACTTCGTCTTATTCATCATCAAGGTAGATTAATTTTAAATTATTTAACTTATTTTTTGTAAGTTGATATTATTTGGGATAAATTGCTATTTATTTTTACTACATTATTTGGTATAATTTATTATTTTAAGACTTAATTTAACTATCTTTAGTTTAATGTAAGAAATGCTTTTCATAATTTATTTACAGACAAATTATGAAAAAAATTTATTACATTAAATCAAGTTTACAAGATTTATCAAGATGTTTTATCATTGATTATTTTACATTTTAAAAATAATGCACTTTATTATAAAATGCATTTATAANATCTGAAAATGAGATTGTTTTTCAAACATCTATCAAGTTTTTTTCATAGGACTTCATTAAATAAGGAGTTTAATTTAATTCTTTTAATGTTAAGATAATACAGAGTTGAATAGTAATATCATTCTATAAAGTTAATTTTTTAATTTTATCTGTTTATCATTTTATTTGATACTTTGTCTAGTAACAATATAATTTAATAAATACTTGAAATTCTTATCTTAACAAATTTTAGAAAGTTTAAAAGATTTTAATGTTTTAATTTGATGTTTGTTTATTTTGTGATAAATAGAAACCCGCTGATGAACTATGAGGCTTAAAGTACTCAGGGTTTGTTATATGTTGATTGTGTTCATGTACTTTATATTGGTTTTCCAATAAAGGAAGATTTGGATATTTTGTAGAAGTTAAGAGATTACTCAGTTTAACCAATATTATTACTTTTATTTCCATTTTCATGTTTTACTGTTTATTTTTTGATTTTATTTTTACTGTTTACAATACTTAGAACATGTTGTTACCTCTATGTTTATATCTTATTTATTTACATATTATTCAGATTTGCCATTTTTTGAAAGCTGGATTAATGCTACATATTTGGCACAAATTTTTTAATGAATAATTTTATTCTCCTTGCATTCTTTTTATTAATTATAGTACAGTATGTTGTTTGTCTCATTATCTGAATTTCTTCATTAATAAAAATTTACTAATATATAAATTACTTAATTAGTTTCAATGGGATAGATATTAGTGTCAACATTAAATGGATTATTGGATTCATATTAGAATCATTATAGTTTTTAGTAATTTATTGTTTTGTATTTTCTGAGACTTGTATACTTATCAATTTTTTATGATTTAATTTTATTACTATTTTTGATTTGTGCTAATTTTTTCTCATTTTCTGAAACTTTTTAGTATATTGCAATATTACTTATTTTTTAAGAGTAAAATTGTAATGTTTTTGTTCAGATGATTGTTTACATTAATGCATTCAGTTGTGTTTTGTTTCATCATTTGATTTTGTTTGAAAAGTTTTTCTTTCACATTTTATTCTGCATGTTATAAATAGCAGTTGATAGAATATTTGTTTATATGTTACTTTCTGATTCTCTATTTGAGTCTAAATTATTTGGATTGTCTTCAGTTTGCATTAAGTGCTTTGCATTTTTTGTTTTTTTACAGAAATTCATTATTACTATGAATGTAATTTTCAGTTATTTTACATTATTTTAAGTTATTAAACTGCATTGTTTATTTCTTACACTTTTTTCAAATCTACAAGATATAGATATACGATGTAACTCTTGGTATTTGTGTGTTTGGTAATCATCCTTTTTCCTATTTATGATTGTAAAGTTATGACCAAACACATGACTATTTGCAAAATGTTTGTACATTTGCGAATTGCTTTTATGATATTTTTGTCATACTACAGTACTTGTAAAA